TTTCATTTTCTTTATCGCCCGCTTTAATGCGATTTTAATTAGAAATGAAAACTTTGTTTTGCCTGCCGATTCCTTTTCTCGACTTCGATCCCCGAAATCAGTTCTTAATTGGCAACACTTTTAATGCTTGACTTACCCATAAACACAGAGGCAGGCCACAAAGGTTGCCCCGAGTGACCTTTTCTTTCCGCTTGGAATCTGTTAACCTAAAAGGAATCTGAACAGCCCAAAAGTCAAGCCTATATCAACAGAATCCGCCTCAGAGCCGAGCCAGCTCCAGACCAATGCGCTTGTCCATGTCACTGCCAATAATGATGAGGGCTTCACCCCTTTATTTATGAGAAATTTAAACAAAAATTAAATTAAAATTATAATAAATTGCTGCACAAATTAAACAACGACAGCAAAAATTGTATTTAAAAATATGTATACGATGGTAAGGTCCCCTGCAGGTGTTGTATTTTCCCTTCAAAGCTGTTTCTTTTACTCTGCTAGTCTTCGTATGGCTGACTTTGTGTTCGAATAAGTTTCGACGGTTCTTAAAGTTTGGACTGTAAGGCACAGAACGTGTTCGTGGCACGTGACCGTGCGGTTGGTCAGGGAAACGCAAGGAGCTTGATGGCCCCCGGACTTCAGTGCACATAAGCTTTAAAGCTGTCAATATTCCTCTGGCCAAAGATATGGATATACTATAAAGTTTGTGGCTAAAAACGTTTGTTTTCCATGCTGTCAAGACGAAGACCAGCAAGAATTTTTAATTCTGGCATCAGCTTTTCCTTAACATCCCAATAGTCTTTTATACTTTGGCATTTCGTTGCAATTTGGAATGCATAAGTAGAAAATTGCACAACAAACTTATGCCAAACTCCACACACACACACATAAAAACAGATGCTTGGGGAGAGGAACATATTCTCCATAAGCTGGGTGCTGGTACTGGCTGCTACTAAGAACGAAGCGTTTTACATTTTCTATTATTTATGTGGGCGGGGTTTTGCCAATTGCGATCCCTAGACAAAACACTACAACGAGCAAAGGCGAATTCGCTTCACTGCGAATTCGAAACGCGAAGAGAAAACGAATGAGAGCGAATTGAGAGCGAGAGCGGACAACGGATCGGCAAGAGAGCGCCGTGCGAGACGAACGACGCATAAATCAAATCAAATCTTATACCGTTATTCCATATTTAATCACTTATTAACCTTTACTTATAATCAATAAACATAAGCCCCCAAATTTTTTGGGAAAACTCATTGAATCGGCAAGCTGTTTATGCCAGCAAATTACAACAACGGATTAATAAAAGGTTCCCTTTGGGTTCATTTCCCTTTCCGTACGTAAGCTAATGATTTCAAGGAACATTATATTTCCATCAGACTAACAAGAACCGGCAATGGCTAATAGAGTTATCTTGTCACTTTCCGCACGTGGTGTCTATTCAGTATTCAGGGGAAATCAAGATAGCCAACACCTCAGCAAATATTTCTGTGAGCCCCAGCTGATGGATTAATTGAGAGCCCAGCGATAAGCCCTTAAACGAGTTGCAGCCAAGCGTCTTGGCAAATGGATCTGGCGTCCTGGCTCATGTTTACAGATTTTAATCTAAAGTGCGAACTCATTTTCCATTTTACACTTCACTGCAGTAAGCACACACACTCTCGCTGCATTACACTTAAATTTACATAGATAGCTGACTTGTAAAAGCTTTTGCTGCAACAACCTCTATTAAAAGGAAAAGTTGGTTGTGGAGGGAGGAGCAGCGAGCCAGCTGCCTTGCGTGACATTAACTTTATCCAGACCTGGAACCCTCTTGCAGTTTCCTGACTCCTATTTGTAATTTGCATAAACCAAACTGTTGGAAATCTAAATGATGTCGATGGAGCTTCTCCAATCAATTCAAAATTAATTACTTTGCCAAAGACCACCGCAAAAGTGGAAGCAGTAGACACAGAAATTTTCTCAGGTTTCAATCACAGTTTAGGCTGAGCTTTCATATTTAAATTAGAAATTGGAAAATAATTTCCATAAAATTCAATTCAAATAGCAAAAGAAAACCAAATTAAAAATTCCAATAGAAAGAATTCGTATGTAGCATAAAATTGGCGCCACAAGAACCACACGGAAGGCTGTTCACATAGAAAACGGCAAGGTAAAAACAGAGTGAAAATAATCATTTTCATGCTAAGCCTTGCCAAAACTGAAGTGCAAAAGTGCCTCCTTGTGGCTGCTCCATTTTCACAAGCACAAATTAAAAATGCATTAAAGTCAAATTGCTGTAGAACATGCTGGTATGGACAGTGCGTGTCGGAGATGTAAGTGCCATCGATTAGCAGAGCATAAAGAGGAGTTCCTTATGTTCTGAATTGGACAACTTAATAATTTAGCAAGTTATTTGAATGCTTGATTGCTTAGTTATATTTAATATTTAAATATTTTTTTCCTTGCCATTCTAGTATTTGTTTAACTTTTCCATCTACTAGCATATCGTCCATCAACAAAAATGGAAATGTCAAACAGGCAGACAAACACAAATTCATTTGAGCTGTCAGTGGCAAGACACAACCTGTTTGTTGACTGGGCCATGAATTTCGGCGGGGTTCCTGCTTAAGTCGTAGTCCTTGACAATGGCAGGATACCGTGGAAATTATCACCTCATTTGTCAGTCGTCGCCACGAGTTGGAAAATAAATTACGCGACACTTTAGATAAACCATCGGAGGGTTGGAATGTGGGTTGAGTGCTGGTATGAGAATGAGTATGATTGTCAGAATAGCACTTGAAGCGACAGGCTGGGTCCCACACAGTCACGCACAACAGGCGGCAACAAAACGTGTTTGATGGCCCTGTCATCGACTCATACCCGGGGTTTGGTTTGTTTGTCCCACGCGCCTTTCGTTTGACACAAGGCAAAAACTGTGTCCCTCTTTGGAGTTTCAGCTGCCGAGAAGGTGTAATTTTAGCTAATTAAAAACGTTTTTAAAGTCCTCGGCAATTAACCAATTTATCAAATTTATTCGCTTATCCCAAACACGGCCAGAGGTTCTATATATTTTGGTTATACAACTTTGAGTCGAAATAAAAGGGTCAACAGTGTGATTTTCTGCACAGAGACGAGTTCTGGAAGCCGTTTCCGTTTTCTTCTGCAACGGATGAGGACTTTTGGCCGCCGAACTTCATCTTAGTTAGCGCAGAACTGTTCGAAGTGGACGGAAATGTTTCCAACCCTATAAAGTGTATGTATCTACATCCAAACGGACACACAGTGAAGTGTAACATGATATGTTGACGTGTATGGGTGTGTTTCCGTGTGTGTTCCTGGGTTCATGCGTGGGTGAGTGCGTAATTCAATCGCAATCGCAAGTATTTGAAGTGCTCTGGAGCGGAAAGATGGTGGGGCTTCGCCCAAACCCTTCCGTCTGCAGCCATCTTTCAACCCCGCTCTGAGTGTCAGCCATGGTGGATTAAGCAATAGAAATTGGATTAGACATAGACCAGCCAGCACACCCGCTTGCTCTCTGTTAAACAACTTCAATTTGCATCTGCTGGTAATCACGTTGGTTTCTGAGCCAACCAACTGACTTGTCATTTCCAAGGATTACACAGCCGTAAGCTCCACTGAAACTGCATTACTTTGGATCTGTTTAGTGCTGCCTTCCCAGTTGAATGCCCTAAATTATTGCCCATCTTGAAAGTACTTTCAGTTGCAGCTACAACAACATTAATCGATTTGTCTTCAGGGTGGGGACTGATATGTAGCTTACACATCGTCCAAGATGTTTCCAATCGACCGCAGAAATAAAAGTGTTTCCCGAGAGCATACCGCCAATGGAGCAGAGACGAAAAGTTCTGGGAAAATAATATCATGAACAGAGGGCCGCATTACATTTCTTTCCAAACATTTAAACTTGCCAAACAGCAGCAGCAGCAGCAAAAGGCAAAGGCATCAACCGCTGCTCAAAATTAAATTGGACAGAACTATAAAATTTAAGCTACAACTTAAAAGTTATTTCTTTAGCATGGAAAGTTTATCCAGCTCAAAAGCCCCAATGACTTCAAAAATATTTGGCCAATGACCAATGATGTACATATGACCCACAGGCTGGGCAAGCTCAATGAAAATTTCAAATTGATTTCGTTAATTTGTTGTTGCAACTTTAACTCCTGCCCAAAATATTACATAGACTTTTCATGCTCCAACCGCTCCATGCTCCATGTCGGCTTTGAACTTCAAGCATGTTCGATGACAACATGCTCCATCATGCTCGCCTATAACATCATTTTGTGCTTTGGCCTCTGTTAAGAGTTCGGAGTCTGCTAACAGCGTTTAACATGTCACCCGATTACGGTCCGCACTTTCTCAGTTAGTCGTGGATTCTGTAAGAGAGCGGCATCGGGAGCGGATATGTCAGAACGGTTTTGTCAAGTGAAACATTTGACGTAATAATTAATATTTTTATTTATTTAAAGCTAATTTCTTATAGGAAAACACTAAAAACCTTACCTACACAAAAGGAATAGTATAATTAATACTTTAACAGCAGCTTAAGACGAAAATTATACTCTATGTGTGACAAACTTTCAGTGAGAAATGCTAAAAAAGCGGAATAAATTTGTAATCAGTTCCCTCCAAATATCTTAATGGAGTACGCCTGTCAGCAGCAGGATGAATTATGAATTTAAATTGCTGACGACGGGCATTAATTTTAGAATTAAAAAACAGTCGCCCAACTGAAGATAGCTTTTCTTTCTTTATGCCCTTTCAGAGGGTATTGTTATAATTGTTCAGCAAAAATAACGATGCTCTTGGGAACCTAAAAGTCGATCAAATCGAGGAGTATTTAACTTGGATCTACTACCTACATATCTCAAGAAAATGGGGCACAAAGTCTTCCCAGACTAGGGTTTGATTTTTATTGTGGTTTGCTGGTCGATGCGATGATTGTAATAAATTATCTGACAGAACAATTTAGAAGTCATTGAAGACATTTTGCTGAAGGACTCTCATTAATGATTACTCTCACTCGCACAATTAAAAGCTGACCCAAATGCATTTTTTATGGTCCAGCATCGAAAGTCAAAGTAATTCAATTTCGTTTTCTCTTTTGCTCCACTTTTATATCCAACCAGAGACATGGCGTTGACAGTTTTCTTTTCGCTTTTTTATTTCATTTTTCCATTTTTCCTTATCTTCGTAGCTGTAGCTGTGGAAGTAAATGTAACACGCAGAAAAAGGCGGTTTCGATCCTTACTTATTTCGCTGTCCAAGGCCATGCATATCTCTGTAGACCCCCACTCAGAACTCACTCATGGTTGCCTTTGACTATTTACAATTGACTACATGCGTTCCATATAGATGGACACCCAAGAGGATTCACCTCGTATTTGTTGAACCGCTAAGCCCGTAATCCCTTTTCTGTTATACCTGGAATTGGCAACATCAAAATGCAGATTGTTCACAGAAATGATTTATTATGCATGGCTTATGCAATGAACGAATCATAGAAAAGCCCAAACCAACAGACGAAGCGCACAGCACAGGAATAGGGTTTCCTTAATTGGAAATTTGAGACTGACGCAACCTTTGGCGCCTTAGATTTGTGGATCTATCCTTAAGTTGGAATGAAGCGGAAACTGTCAAAGAAAATAATTCTTAGGCCGGTTAAGGTGGTAAGGTCCTGGCATGGCTTTGCTTCTGCAATTGGGAATATTCAACGCAGATATTCAATGTTCCTGCTTGTTTTCATAAGCAGCTTACGGACAGGTGCGAGGAACTGCATACGAGTTCATGTGTCTGCATATATTTATTATTCAATGTATGGAATATACATACATATGAAGCTGCACAAAGACGAGCTGTCGTTATCTCTTGTGCGTGGTTAATCCACATTAAAGCCAGCTGCCGCCGTTTTCTTAACGGCGTTTCTTCCGTAACGGCATGCGAAATTTCGAAATTTCCGCGCACGTGGAAATCCCCTCATAATATGTGAAACAGTTTCCCCGGCACAGCCTGTTGATCCCCGTATTCTTAATGCCGCTTTTTAATTCGTTTCTGCAGCGTAAAAGGTTTCATTGTTTTTTTTTTCTCAGCAAAGGCTTAATTTTAAAATTAAATGTGCTGAATAAAATGAGCGCCAAAAAGCAGCCAAAACACCAAACCCCATGCCCAACCTCAAAACTCGAACACAGGCACAGCCAAAGGGCAAGCAAAACAGGGTTCGGGGTACAGAATGCACGGACAGTCCGGTATGGAAGAGCTGACTCTTAGGACCACAAAGACCAAGTGCAAAAATACAAGCAATCAAGCTATTTGCTTACAACTTCCAAATATGGGATCAAAATGTAATACTCTGTACTCAATGTTTAAATTTTCTCTCAATTGCACAGAGTATTCCTCTGTAAATGTGATTTACCATAAGAACAGTGTGCACTTTTTTATACATTTCTCGTAGAACACTCGTACACATGCAGACACAAACACAACCGCACTTATTAACACTCATACTCATACTCACTTACAAGAACATGCAATTACAATGACGACAAGCAGCTTCATTAACAATGCTCCCCCTGTAGGTTCACTCGCTCCACTCCACTCCGTTTCACTCCTCTGCACTTCCCACCTCTTTTCAACAGTTATTTTTTTAACTGGCTGTTCTTCTACCTTGCAGTCGTCGGGGTATATTGGTACCACTGAAAATGGGTGACAGAATATGTGTTCTAGATTTGTATGAAAAAGTGATTAATAAATCAAAGTAAATTGATGGTCAGCCATATTAATGTGGGCTGGGTTTTGCCAATTGCGATCCCTAGACAAAACCCCAAAACGAGCAAGGGCGTATTCGCGTCACTGCGAATTCCAAACGGGAGAGCAAACGCAAAGAGAAAACGAAGGAGAGCGAATTGAGAGCGAGAGCGGACAACCGATCGGCGAGAGAGACCCGTTAAAGGTCGATGCAGAAATCGAATTCTTGTACCGTTAAACAATAAACATAAACAATAAACATAAACCCCCACATTTATGTCTTGCCAGTCAGTCCTGTTTGGTCGCCTGTAGCACAATTTTAATATTTGTTGAACTAAGTAATGGAAAACCATTCTCTATAGCATTCTCTGTATTGTGTTTTCTTTTTATTTAATGCAGAAGAAATGGGACCAACCATCCACATCGGGTGGACCACCAGGTGCACAGGATCCAAAGAAGACATGCAACCTGGAAACGTATCTGGATTGGTCGGCACGTCTCCGTCTGTTTGTTTGCAATGAGATACTGCAGGTGAGTGTGGATATACAGAAGGACAAGCAGAAAATGGGTTCATAACCATGTCGGGGTCCAAACCAGGCACGGTGCTCAAGTTAAACGTAGCGCATGAATCCTTAGACCCTGTGGATTGAATTAACATTCCCATGCCTGCTGCATATTCAGAGTACTACGTGTCCAGGACTCACATGACTTTGCATGGCAGAAAGCAGGCAGCAGGCAGGCAGTCGAGATGGCTTATAATTTATGCCGTTCGTAACTGTCTCATTGACAGTTTGCCAGTTGGCCATGTGAGCGACTCGTTAAAACTTCCGCCAAGTCACGTGGTTGCATCTCTTCGCGTGTGCCCTCGTCTGCCTTCATCCATTGGCAACGTCTAACCAACTTGAGTAATCAAATAAATCTTTCATTTCGAATCGTGTACCATGGACATCACCACATCAGTGCGGTGGCATCGAGGAGGCACCGTTGAGCGGTGGAGTGGCGTTGCCTAGTATTGTCTGCTTGTGGGCATCCCTTGAAACTCCCGCACAACTAAATCTGAAATTATCCCTCAATGATTAAACAAAATTGATATTCAATGAAAGGCCTAGTCTTGTCTTTAATTTGTGTTGAGGAGCATCCAGAAGTAGCAGCCTAATCCACAATGCAAGCCAAAGCAGCACTTTTCCTTATAAAACTTTGCTTTTCCTCTTTGCTCCAGCATTTTCCCTTTGTCTTCTTATGTGTGCCTAAGATATTTGTTCGTGTCAGCAGATATTTTTGCAGTCTAGTGCACTTTAGCATAAGGAGCCTAAAAGATTTAGTACCATGTTCCGGTTTCGGTCCGAGGGTTTCTGGTTACATATTGAAATAAGTAATGGAAATACTCGTAAATGGTGTTTGTTCGCAACCCAATTGAATTGTTTGCATTATTTTTGGCACATTTTCTTTGTCATCTTCTTATAAAAACGAAAGTTCTTAGACCCTCTTGCACCAAGGTTCCCCGAAATCGCAAAAAAGAAAAATTTGGCGCATGAATTGGGCGATGACAACGCCCAAGCAACCACAGTTTCGCTGCAGTTGGTCCCATTTCATAAGGTTTTTATATATAAAGAGTATATTTTCCCATTTATTTGGCACATCGCCCACACTTTTCGCACGGTTTTCATCTTTCAGCAGACCTTCAATAGGCAGCAGCGTGCTGGCGTGCATTCAGCTAGTTTCCATAAAAAAAGAACTGTTTAATTTGTTAATGGATTACGCTTTCTGCTAACACTAACACGCTAACACTAGGCTTTAGCTGCTTTTGCTATTTATAACCATTTACGAAAACAATTCAGTTAAAAGTTACTCACTCCCTCAAATGCCTTTGGCTTATATTTAACTCTCACAAAACACAATCAGACAGCAGAAAAGCAGAAGGAAACACACAAATACAAAACAGAAAATAAAATGGTGTGTGGAACAGGGCAGAGCAGGGTCGGGTCCCATCCAGATTACAACTACAAATGATGTTCATTTATGGATTTCGATTTGAGTACAGTGGAGCAAATTGCAAGTGACGTGCCAACAACTGGATTGCATGCAGCGACATGCCGAGGGACACGGTCATTTGTGGCAGAAACAGGCAATCGTCTTAAATGAACAAGGCCAGCCACAAAGTCTCAAGACTGATAAGCAGGCTAAGGACAAGTCATCCACATCAATAGGAGGAAAAGCAACATCAACATCAACATCAGAATGTGGAGGAGGAGCTACCACATCAATGGACTTAGATGAGAGACCGTCGACGAGTGCGAGTGTGATTGGGCATCCAGTTGGCATAACAGGCACTTCCGCTATGAATGCAATGTCGGCACCGGAAACAGCGACACTGCCTGTGGCTGGCAACAGCAATGCGGAGCAGCCACCAACATCATCCCCTGCCACGCCATTAACTGGAACGGCACTGGGCAAACCCAATGATTGGGTTGTTATTCCAGTGTTTGCGGATATTGTTAAATTGGCATTGGGCGAACGTGAGAACTGTTTGCAGCGGTAAGTTTAATTTGCCTGGAACTGCGCAACATTTGATTGATGTTGCATCATTGCTTAGTCTGATGGTATGTGATACCAAAAACCTCTTGGCCAAGGGGTCCTACGATTAATATATTGCCTCCGCATCAGCATCCACAAGCAATTGCATTTCGGACTCCGCTTTCGCCTAAAAAAGGCATTCAGTCATTTAAATTTATATTTATTTATGTTTTAAATATAATTTACCGCAGAGCGAGGAAAAAATCATTTCCATGGTAATTCAATTTAAGGAACGATGACCATAAACACATAACACGTTTTTTCTTCTTTCCATAAATTATTTGTATGTCATTGGACGCGTTAGAGAGTATTATCCCTGGCAATGAACACACGATACATTTATTTGTTTCCCCTTATTGTGGAGCATTTATTTTAATTAACTTTAAAGTGTGCGATGGAATTATCAGATGCACAAAACAAATCAATAATGGTGTTAGTGTTTTTGTGATATGTTTAAATTGCTTTAAATATTCGGTAAATATAAGCAGTGCATTGGGGAAAATTGTTGTTTAAGTAATTTATTCTATTGGAGTGCTTAATTTATTTGAACGTAAGGAGGGAGAAGTAAAGATGAAGAGAACCCTGAAAACATCTTTCAATTCTCTTTCCCTTTTCCCCTGTTAAGCCGCCGACACCATCTTCCATTGGTGGTCGTCGATCGAATGCAGGCGCCATCCAGCGGGGAGTAGGAACACTTTGGCCAGCATGTGCAGCAAGCTACGAGACAATAAATAAAACTTACCTTTTTGTGAGTGCGCTATGAGTACTTGAATATTATTTTCTAGGCTGAGTATTTTCTCGCATTTCTTTACATTTTTCAATGGCACTCGGTGCCGCATGATGTTTTGATGCCCTTAGAAAGGTGTTTGGAAGTAGGAGAAGGTTGTGGCAAGTTAGAGAAGCGATAAATTAGAATCAGAGTCCAGAATTAAGATATAATAAAAAGAAGACATTTTTAAGCATTAAAATCGATGTATTTAAGGCTATTTGTTTTGGATTTATTGTGGTTTTATTTACTCTTGTTGTCGCATCGATGACAAATTTGTTTTTCTGTTTCTTTTCCACACAAAAAGCCAAATGAGTTTCCTCTCTTTTTCGGGTTCCATTCTTTGCAGTTTGAGTAGTTGCTTAGCCAAGGCAACCGAGCATCTTCTAAATCAGTTTCCTCAGCAAATGCCCAAACAACAAAAAATACTGTCCAGCAGCTCAGAAAAGTTTAGCTAAACTTTAAGCCAACATCAGCAACGTCAATGCAAACGAAGACCCTGAGTAAAAATTCAAATAAAAGTTTATTTCCAACTTTGATGCACTTTCGAAAGCTGAATAAATACATTTTGGGCTGGTCTTAGCTTTTAGGCGTCCTTTTACCCAAAGCCGTTCACGCAGAGACACACATTCGCGGACTGTGGATGTTGGTTTATGGTAAATGCGTTTTATGTTGATCCTTTGGCATGTTTTTTATAGCAGCTACTGAAAGACAACTATAAGGTGATGTATAATCTTAAGCGAACAAAGAGCTGAAAGAGATGCCAGTATATATGTGGGCTGGGTTTTGCCAATTGCGAACCCCAGACAAAACACCAAAACGAGCAAGGGCGAATTCGCGTCACGGCGAATTCCAACCACGAGAGAGCAAACGCAAAGAGAAAACGAGGGGAGAGCGAGAGCGGACAGAGCGTGACCAGACGACGAACGACGCAGAAAACGAATTCTTGTACCGTTATACCATATTTAATCACTTATTAACCTCTACTTACAAACAATAAACATATAAAATGGCATTTACATGCTAATTTAAATGCATCGTGTTGGCCTTTTATCCATTGTTTAATATCCTGTGGCCCCTGATGGGCTACTTTCACAGCCTTTTCGTTGGCTCAAGTCTTTCGTTTTTCCGTTTTCCTTTCAGCAGAAGAAAATCATAAAGGCAAAAACTAACAACTTAGGTACACTTCTCTTCTCTACTATTTTGTAAGCCGCTCACTTGTGCCCTGAAATATGTTTGCCATAGAGAGCTAATTGTCTGCTATCTTCTTCTCCTGGTCTCTTAGTTTATCCCTTCGGTTTACCCAGTAAATACCAGAGGCAAAACAATTTACAGATTAAATGCTTACGGAATGTTTGGTGGAATGTGTAGGACAGCGATTCCAAAAAGCTCACAAAACTTCAACAAACACATGGCCATACACCAAGCCTTACAAGCAACAGAATAAAGATTAGATGCAATTCCCAGACACAAAAAAAAAGCCAAAGGAAGACTTTCAAAGCACTGCCAAACAATGCAGCAAAGCGAGGAAAGGCACAACAAAACTACTTTCGAAATCCTCTCAAAGGATCAAAAAAGCATTTATTTGTTCTCCTTTTTGCTTTGCTTATTTCTTGCTCTAGCTTATGCATTTTTATATTCATTTTGTCCGGGACGCACTTCAGGCCCTCTCCAGCTATACGGGCATGTGAATATGACCGGCAAAAGTAGAAAAATAATAATGAAAATAATAAAATAATAATAGCATGCAAAAAAATAAAGAAAAACCTGCTTCCACTTTAAATCGACATTGAGGCACGTCTCTATGGGAACAGCCTCGTTCAGTGCTATCTGTCGGGTCCTTCCTTTCCTGCCGACCCATCGGGGCCACATGCCAAAGCAGCTATGCATATTGGATTTTGCACGTCTGTTCAGGCCTGACACAAGAACTCGAAGCCATTTCTCGAAATTCCAGAGCGGACAGCAGGCAGAAATTGCATTTAGATGTGCGAAGAAAATTGCTAAAAATAATATTTGCTGACGAGGGAATTTGAAATGAAAATTAAACCTAAGAGGCATTTACAATTTTCTCGTAAAATAATAATCATATCGAGTGTCAAATGTCAGGACCACAGAGCCAAGCCAAAGTTATATTCAAATCCCTTGAATTCAGGACCTGGCAAGTCCAAGGAATTTCCCACAAGCATCCACAACACCAGAACAAACATTCTAGAGCTCCTTGGGTTGGGGAATTTAAGTGCAATTCATTTGTATCCATTTGTTTGTGTGCTATTTCAATTTTGCTCATTAGGCCTTAGACATGGTAATTTGCGCAGCAAGACCATTGGGAGGAAGCCAAACCCAGTCCATATGAAACATTTATGAGGGTGAATCCTTGAGTCGCACCCAACAGCTGGCGCAATTATCCCTAGCTCAATGGCAGTGCAATATCATTGACCAAGTCCCATCATCATTATTATCATCAGCATTGGGGCCTGCCTTTTGCTAGCTCTTCGTCTTTTGTGTCTGTTGTTTAATTGCAAAATTAAATTATAAATTTCGTGCAGCGGTTATATAAGAGCTAATGGCAGACATTTTCACATTTGCATATTGAATGATTAGCAATGAATATTGATTCCAAATAAGAAATTTACAAAACAAACTTCCGAAAATGTATGTTTAATGGATGCCCCAATACTCGCAGCATCTACCTTCCTAAGTGGCCTGACAGCAGGAAGTTATTGCTATAACTGCGGGCAGCTATCCCCTTCTGTTGTCTTCCTTCAGGGATTGAGACTTTGTTCCTTCTGAGGGTGTGCTGCTCTTGTTATCTATCACTTGTCTCTCCCCTCTGTTTTTGAGTCAGTAGTCAATTTTACAGTAGTTACGGGTACCAGCTGTTGTTGGTCTCTGGGTTCGGGTGGATGCCATGAGGGGCGGAGGCAAGTAATAGAAAATAAAAGATATTGTATCTCGGGTACTGACTGACCTTTGAAGGCAAATCATTTTGTACTCTATAAGGAACATCTGCCTTAGATGATTGGGTATCAGAAATATAAGTTTCAACAGCATAAATTAGCTTTAGGTTTAATTTCTCGCTCATTTTTGTAGAATTTTTTAGTATAAACTTCATCTGAGCGACTCCCAGGCTTCTCAACAGCCCGAGTAATGGCACGGAATGGTCCACCCTACCATGTTTGCAGACCGTAAATACAAGTTCCAAACCTGAAGCATAATGAACTGAACCGAATCGAGCCCCCGCAGAAAACTTCAGGACACAGCAATGGGGCGATATTTACACACGACTCTACGAAAACTAAACAAGAGGAAAAAGGGCTACGGGAAAAAAGCTTAACCCTGGATTTTGTTTTTGTACGAATAACCAGAGGCACTATTTCTTATATGGCAAGGAGTGAATGCTGAGTGTGGTAGGGGCTCTCCTGTTGGCACAACTTGGAGAGCATTTTCAGAGCCTGTTCCAGTGGGATGCCACATTTTGTGGCAAGTCAAGCGCACATCTGTTGACCAAACGAGGCTGTTTCCCCAAACATTGTAGAATTTTAATGGGCTCATGGTGCGAATTCTACACTCCTCTCCTCTCACCATATTTTTTCGTACAACTTTATTAAATTTCCCTAAATTAAAATGCTAGAGAGCAGCGCTGACCCGCTTGTCGGCACTTGACCGCTGGCTAACCCTTTCCTAAACGAGTTCCAGTTCAAGTGGTATGGAGATGTGTGAACAAAATCTAGGCTAAAAATTCCTCTCACTGAAGTGCTGGCTGAATATTTGTGAACATTTAGTGAAGTTTTAAAGCTTCTCGTTTCCCTATTCCTACATATGTATAGTTCACATCCTTCACACATTCGAATGGCTAGACTACAGCTTCTACTTAATGCTTTTGCTCATGCGAACAAATTGCTGGTGGGAATTTTATAAATGGTATCGCACACTTGGCATGTTTTCGTATAAATCAAGTCCGCAGTATCTGCAACACTTTTGTGTTTTATTTTATTTAGTTTTGTGGCCGAGGCCAAGGCGTTGCAGCAAGTCCTGCAACCTTGGAAATGTATGGGCCACACTTGCTGCACATGCGACATGCCGGACGGGTGCAGTGGCTAAGACAAATCGATGGCTCCTACTTTGTTGCACAAACACAGCTAAGGGCATAATTTATGGAACACTTTGCTGCAACTTGCGACCATGTGGCACTTGAACTCAAGACCCACAAAGCTTATTTGTAATTCTAGCAATTGAAATTAAACATTGGTTTTAATATAGTTTGCTCACAAGAACCTAATTGGTGTCCTGGTTTTTTGATAGCTAATTGGCACACAGATACTTATATTTCCATCAAGCTGTTTTCAATTGGATTTAGCCGATGTTTTGTGCTTTTGGTCTATCTTTTGGTCCTTCTCCTTGGCCAAATCGGCTACGGCTTTCTCCACATCCTCCATAAAGTGATGAAAGTATGTGGGCACCTGATTCAGGTAGAGAAAAGCTTTTTTGATGGTGTCATTCCAGGAGTCCACGAAAGACTCTCGCCAGGGCTTCGGCTCGAGTTCCTCCATGCATTTCTCCTGACATTTCCAGCAGCAGATCCGATCCTTCAGGTCCTGGGCGTAAGGTCTAAGACGTTCTCTGGCGCTCTCCACTAACACAGCCGAGTGCTCTGGGCTCTCCCAAACTCCCAGCTGCTTGGTAGCAAATGCAACTCCAGCTACCACTCCCAGTTTGGCGATCACCATGAGAACCATTGCCACAAAGCCACAAAAACAAAACAAAATTCCAATAAAATGTAAAAATTTTTGGGGTTTTTTTTTGTTGGAATTTTGACTGAAAAGTCTGGCAAGGTTAGTAGATACTTGCAAGAATTTTCGGACTATTGGTAAACGTGTAATGAAGTTATATACAATGTACATACACTTCTGCATCCTGTTAAGAATATTTTCTGTTCCTTCTTTTAGAGCCGCACGTGGTCCTCCCGAACGAACACAAAACTGAGAAATGTCCCACATCTGGAACCATTGTACCGACTAGACTGTGGTCTGTTTGTGTTTTTTGGCATTCATTTTCATCATCCCCCTCTGCGGTCAAGGGGAAGTGTGTTTTGGTCCAAACTAAAGCTGCATAAGAGAGTGGTTATCCTGGTGGTGGCGTTTAAATGGTAAAGTTCTCCCAGCGGAACTAAAACGATAATCTTTTGTGTGCCAACTCAAAGTATGGTCCAATGTCTCCAATTTATAAATGTGTAGTTTCATTTGCTGGGTTATACTACTCCTTTTTACATGAAATGTGAACAGGGAACAGCTGCTCCATTATATAAATTAGAACTTTCAAACTGCTTGGACATCAATCAGAAGCGAGTCCTTTGGTTGGGAAACTTTTATAATTAGCTGCGAAGGCGAACAAGATGTTCAGTTCTCCTGAAGAGCTCACAGATAATATATTTATGTTAGGATTTCTCGAATCAATCAATTATTTTGCAACAAACTTTTCAGACCTGCTCATATAAAAAGTTTGATGTTGGTGTGTAATTTTCTCAGTATAAATGCCAAAAAGTATTCGTTTGGAGTGGCTTTCCTAATTAAATCAGTCCTAAGACCTGTGTGCCTTCCACTCCTTAATCACAGCCAGTGGAAAATCATCCTTATTGAAACAGGTGTCCCATAATATGTGTTTAGAAATTCATTTGATTGACTCCTTTGCTCGTTTTAAATGCTTTCAGCAGCAGGAGACAGGAAACTCCAAGAACTCAATGCAGGGGAGTCCCTGAGGTGCTGGAGAGCGAGGGATTGGTTTTAATTTTCACCTTGAATGGCATCAATATTCTTGGGGACACTGTTGCTGAAATGAATTCATTTTCACAGGAAGCATCGGGGAGAAGCCGCATCAAGTCGCATTTATAAGCCGCAATGCCGGAAATTAATTTCTTTGAAAATGCAAATTAAATCAAAACAAGTAAATAACAACTTGGCAAAATATTCGCAGACGTAAGAGCAGCTCTCCGTCAAAACATTTTGTCTGGCGGAGATTTAAATTGGATTGAGCCCGGAGTTCAGCGTACGCCTGTGCCGCTGGAAACTTTGCTTTACATGCAATTTGCTGCTCGCTACAGAAAATCCAAGAGTTTTGGCATTATTTCAGACTCTCAAGCACAGCATCGTTTCAGTAGCAGCGTCACATTCGCATTTTCATCTTCAAGAACAAAGTTTTCTTGGCTCTATATGACCTTGGGACTAACATAAATTTACCTTAAAGTGGAGAGCGACAAGCCGAAAAATATTCCCAAACTTGCACAATATTCAGTGGGGCTTTAGCCACAGTAATTGTAATAATAACCCAGCAGCTTTTTTATTTGATGGCCATTAAGTCGTGTAAAATGAAACAAATGCACAACTAATCGATAAGAGCCATCAATGGATGCCAATAAGAGCATTAGAGAGTGCCATGAGAGTGCAAAGAAATGAGAAAAAACATTAGGAAAACAATTAAACTGATTGCCGGCAATTTATACGCAGCAAAGTCACAGAAACTATGTGCAAAAAAATCCAAAAAAAAGAAAATTGGAGCTGCTGGAAAGTTTTGCAGTACATAGAAAAGTGAGCCGCTAAAATTGAGGCAGTCGGAGGAAAGGAACAAATAGAGCAGGCATCCATTAACTTGGCCACTAACTAATTGCAACCGCTAACTAATTGGCACTAAATACGAATGTAAAATGCGAATTACTTCACCGCTCATATGACTCGTGTGACAGACGCGCTCCATTCCTAAATAAATGTGCAGATTGCAGACATTTTTCATAAATTAAAAGAACTTAAAACGTCATAGGGACGCAAGAAACCTCAAAGTTTGATGTAAAACTATTTGCAGGTATCTTGTGTATCATTTATGTCTTCATTTAATTGAAAAATTCCCTTTCTCTCTGCCAGAACGAGTTCTTTCGCTTCATTTTCCACAGAGAAATGCAATGCCTTCGTTATAATTGACTGGAGCAGAAAGCATTGCGGATTATCCTTTTCATTTCTGACTCATCGCCGACTCAATTGTCAGTCGTTGATGAGTTCGCCTTTGTTCATATTTATTTATTGCATTTTTGGACATTTAAAGTGCAATTTGAATGACGTTAAAACGGCATCTGCTCGGGGAAATTGTCAATCAAAGATGAGTTAAATACAGTCAAAGAATGCCATTATTATTTATATCTTTGGCACTCTTCAGAGTTATGATTGAGTTGTTAAATTTCAGCTCAGAGTTCGTTGATAAAACTTCCAAAAGATGGGAAAACTTATGCCATTTCTCTGAAGCACTTCAGACATCAATTCCGACCAACAGCACTCGAGCAGGTCGCAGTAAAATAGCAATTGAATTAGGAAGTTTTATAGATAAAAGTATAGATGCCATATAATATTTATTACATTTTTGTTTACCTTGCTGCGGTTTTATATGCGTGCCTGCCTGCTGTGCGGTTTTCTTCTCCTTTTTCACAATTTAGGCTAAAGCATTTCAACAGAAGCTTTGCGGATAACCAGTTGTCCCTGAGCCAGCGACTTAACTGCTTAGACTCTGGCCATTGGACTTGACAACGTGGTGCATGTTGGGACCCATTTCTTGGGTCCTGCTGTTTTCTTTATAGCCACCGACTGACAACTGACTGCCACACATCTATGTATTTATTAGCATATTTGAAGGCTGCCACACTGCCACACTGCCACTGCAGCACATCTTCGCCACCTAATGATGTTGAAATGTACAGCAACTGTGTTTGTGATCCCCCAGGGCAGTCGGTTTCCAACCCATTTCCCAGCTCATGTGGAGTCAAGCGGAGAGAAATTTCCCTGTAGGGAGCGTTTCTTTATTTCTCAAACGTAACGTGACATAAGACCATCATAGACTTCTCTTTTTTTACCCGAGGAAGGTAGGGGCTAGGTAGTGACTCTGTCTGCTTATTGCATTGCTTATTTTACTCTATTTTTCGTTTTATTTTCCCCACTAAAGTATTCAATTGCGAAGCACCTAAATTCCCAAGGCTGTCAATCGTTTTCACGGAATTTTATTTGGCCAATGTGATCCATGTCGAATAAATGATTGAATAGGTAGGAATATTTGTTGCTTAAATATATATAGGAATACTAAAAATGCTCTCAAATCGAGCAGCAGATTAGTGGGCTTCGAAGTGGTAATAAATAATGAAAACATAAACCTTGACCACCGGCAAAAATCCACACTAGCCCTTGTAAAACAATTTGCTTTGTGAAAAACTGGCAATCCCAAGCTCAGAGATGCACAAAAGTCAAGCAAAATCGTTCGTTTTATTGTCAGTTGCACGCGCGGATATGTTTTTCAGATAAATTGGAAAAAATTAGTTTAGTGTTGGGTTGGTAGGACTCTACTTTTGTGTATTTTGTATCATGGAAGTGAGTGATGGACATGTATTGGAAGGGACGCACCATGTACTCAATGCTCAATGAATGGGTCAAATTGAAGCTTTTGCAAGCCAACAAATGTTACACCCTAAGGTCCTTTGATTTCGATTATTGGGACTGAAACACACAGACATTCATCGCACATACAACAAGTGTTTAAAGTTCTAGCAAAAGAATAAATAGTTTTTATTATCAAATATTATCTTAGAGGAAATATGAACGATCAATTCATTATGAATATAAAAATGTACACAAATAAACAGAATGATGAACACTGAGACAACTTTTATGTACCACGTTACAGCGAGTAATTTTGTTGGCATATTTGATTCGGCAGCAAACCGAAGGCATGCCCAACATTCACATGTGGCTTTGACACTTATGAACATTGTATTGGACGACGGCTGTTTGCGGTTGTGTGCCATCCTTTTGGGTTAAAATTGGCTATGAATAATTGAATATTTCTGGGTTTTTTGGCTCGTGTTTGATTAATTGTGTGCACACACACACTATATACAATATTTAAAGACATGGGCAGCAGATGATTTCAATTGAATTCAGACCGCAGCACGACAGGCAACCGACCTAAAAAGGATATGAATTACATGGATATTAAATAGCGGATACGGTGATAAAATACTTCACATGTGGTGCCCAAGCTTCGAGCCTCAAAGCCACAACTGGCTGGAAATTCAACTAAGTTGGCTTGGCATCAAATGAAATGCCTATCTACGTAGATCTAAGGAAAATGCAACTTCGATTTGCATTGGGACAGGTACAGGTACAGGTACAGGTGTTCTCCTTTCAAAGTTCTGCTTTCGAATGGGAAATGCAATCGACTAGCACTTCAAAAGCAGGGCACTGGAACTGCCTTTGTGAGCAGTCAAAAGGTAGCAATGAAATTACTTTCATCACACAGGGACCATGGAAAGCGAATCGAATTGCAGCAAAAGATACAAATGGAGTACACACATACGATACTCATATAAGTTGGCATGCATGTGAAGGCAGAACAATTTGCATTCACCGGAAAATCTGCTGGCTGCCGGGTGTGTCCCTATTGGCTGCCCCAGAAAGGCGAGTCCTTGCCACACGGTTGAGATGATCGGCCAAGATTTCCGTATTCCCACAGGGGACAGCTGTGAAGTGACACTTTACGCTTGGGCCACTTAAAGACCCAACCAACGCGATCCATTCAACGACTTCTACTGAAAAGTTTTTGCTAAATTTATCTCCAGTAATATATGTGGGGGTTTATGTTTATTGTTTATAAGTAAAGGTTAATAAGTGTTTAAGTATGGTATAACGGTAAAAGAATTAGATATCTGCGTCGTTCGTCGTCTGGTC